TATATATATGGGTTTGTTAACATACAGTATATTTTATATTGTTTCTCTGTGCAGCCTATTACCAAATGGCCCGTGGACCGGTACTGGGCCACAAGCCGGTGGTGGGGACCCCTTCTTTATGTAAGATTATTTGAATACAAACAATGGCACAACACATGGAGACAGGTAATATAACTGGTATAGAAGGGGCAGCACAACATCTCACTAAATTGAATGAAAAAGAAATGTCATTTTTCTTTCATTTTCATGGGGAAAGATGATACATGTGTTTTGAATTCCGTTCAGGGAATAAGCACTTTACTCGATTAAGTACAGCTACCAGACTATTCTACTTCGGTACAGTAACTAAGTATGTGTACTTAGTTACTTTTCATCAGCGCTCCAACAATCTCAAGCTAGAGTAGCTAAGAACTGGCTGTAGAAATATTTCAAGAGGCCTTGCTAATATTTGTGCAGTACCGTAGGAATTGTGAAACCACTAATTCACTTTTTTCCCATGTACGTGTTACTCTAACAATAAATTCCTGAGTCATATACTGTATGAAATTACATGAAACCGTGTTTTCTTCAACCCCCTCATTTAAGTTGGGAATGGCTAGCTAAGCATATCTGACGCGCATGGCTTGACTCACTTGTCTGTGGCAGAATCTTTGTTGGCCTCATTGTGTCCGTCTGCTTTGGAACAAAAGCGTCTAGCGGCGTGCTGCTCTGTGACCGTGGCCGGAGAGCGGCTCCAGTAGCCGGCTGCAAGGGGAGCGTGGACTCCGCCTGCCAAACGCCGCTTCAGCTGCCTCTGAAAGATATCCTTGAGCCCTACCGTTGGCCGTAAATGGAACATTGCAAACTCGGCGTCGACACAACGAAAACCAAAAGGAGAGTGAATCCCGCAAACAAATGAATGAGCGCGTCCGCAGGAATAACACTGAGGAGTAATGGAGTAAGTGGGTAACGGGCGGATGGACGACGAGTTTGTCGTCACAACCTGAATTGAAAAATTTTGATTGGTTCTTGGAAAATGCTATATTCGCAATCTCATTGGTCATTTTAGCCGTCGATCATACGACCTTTTCACAATAAAGTACAGTACAAGGCCTGTACAAATATTGAATACCTTTCATTTAACAACAAAGAAACACAGAATCAGATCAATGATAACCAATAAAACCGGAACATCTTGGGTGTAATTATTTAATTACTCTAATAAAAAGGATTGCTTTTAGTTAAACTCTTAGGTACATGCATGGAATTCGACAAGGTGGATAAAGGTCATTAAAGCCATTTCGTATGATTTGCTATTCAGGTCAATAAACAGGGTGTTCAGGACCCTGTTCAGTAATATTATGTCGTGCTCTCAAACCGGGTGAACTACAGTATTGATAGTGCACGACATGCAATCCTCAACAGACTGATGCGAGTGTTCCTCCATCTCCAGCGCTGTATACACAGCACCACCTTCTGGCCAGACGTGGTTTCTATATTTGAAGTGGGAATTAAAATAGATTATGCCAAACATGCATTCTTACAGCCACGTTGTTTCTGGATGTCTATGAATCATCAAATATTGCTTTTGCACAACATTTGCTTTAACAGTCATATATTCTCCGTGGAAATGCTTTCCCAACAGCGAACATTATCTCTACCAAAAATGTGCGTATAGATATTATTGAAACAATATCTTGCAAGTGGTGTTGCTTATTTTAGCGCCGTGATTATCAAATGCGCGATGTGAAAATTGCCAAGAAAAGTGCCACTTTTCTCACTTCCCAAAGTTCATTATTGTGTAAAAATCCGCTCCACACGGAATCACATCTTCTCTCCACCCACACATTCTGCAAAGCTTTCAAAGTGAGGCTGATGGGTGCGCTCTGCAGATCCCTCCCACGTTGCTTAGTGGCTGGCTGCCGCCCACCACCAACCCCGTGGAGCCGCCCACTTCCAACCATTGCCACGGCAACCCATCATCATCATCATCATCATCATCAGTGACTTGAGACGGAGGAGGACAGGGAGGAGGACAGGGAGGGGCACAGGGAAGGGAGGTTTGGCCGTGTAGAACAGGGCTGCCACTGAACAGCAGCGGGCGTAGGCGTTCATGATGTGAGCGATTCTCCAGAGAAAGTCTGAGCGGGCGCGCGCGTGTGCGGGCGTGTACGTGTCTATGTGTGTGTGCACGCTTGAGAAAAAGATGGGAACTAACAGAACCTGCGTCAGAGTGAGTCATCAGCTAGTTTCACAATGTCTTGATGTGACGTGAATGCAAATAGCCGACGCGGGGATTCAACCACAACCAGCCGAAAGATCACTTTCAAGTGGGGTCGAGGTGCTCCTGTGACCTGGCTGGACTTCTGCAGCCTGTTCATGGTGGAATACATGAGTGTCAAATTCATTGACGCTCAGGGGTCACAAAGTACAGCCTGAGCCTCGTAGTGCACTCGCAGCATTTAACACTGGTCAACAGCACATTTGAATCAGCGAAAGCTTTATTGTCTCTCTTTTTGACGTACTTTAAAACATGTTATTATTTGTTTCTGCTAGCACATCAAATGTGGAGATATTTTCTTTTTTTTTTTTTACGGATTTTACCATGCTTTGTAATTTATAGCGATAACATTACAAAAAGATTCCACCTGTGCTGAAGCCAAATCATTATGACTACTTATATTACAGTATTAAAATATACACATACAGTGAGGTAAACGTTTTCAGTCACAAGTATTATTTTCAACTGACAAAAATAATGCTGTATGTTGAACTTCAACATGTAATTCTTAACCCAGAAAGTCATGCCCCCCCCTCCCCCAAATTATAGAATTTTTGATAAAACACGTCAGATATATTTTTGGCACAATCAAGGTCATCCTGCCAGTCGTATTTTTATTTTTTTTGCCCCCATTTTACATCCTGTTTTTTTGCCCGCGAAGCACATACAGTATGTTTGACACCGCTGTCCCAGGATATCAACCTCCAGCACCCGCACAATAAAGAAGGGAAATCGATGAAACCCATAAAAACCCTCAGCAGTCACTGACCAGAGAGAACATTCATCACAATAGGGTTCAAAAAATAAAGTTTAATGTTATGTGCTGTATAACAAATAAAATATATTAGTGTTTAAAAAAAAACAAACTGGTGCATAACTAGGTGGAGCCTAATCTACCAATGTGAGGAGACATTGAGGAGAGGCCGACAAGGCTCCCACTAAAAACATCACAACATCATCGTGAGTCCTCACTAGTTTGTTGACATGAAACAATGAATCCCATGGCAAATCTTGAGATACGAATACAGTGTGCCGCACGTGAAGACAACATTAGCGTCTTTGGAGGACAAATGCACATTCACAAAACAATCCATACATGTTAGTCACATATATATTGCATTGGTCTGTCACTGAGTGAACTACCTGCAGGCGGGGGGAGAGTCGGACCAACTTGTCAGGACACACACAACTCTGGTAATGTTTCTACGGCTAAACAGCAACACACATGAAATATGCATTAGGAGATAGCTAGTCAACATCATCGTAGTCGTCGTGGAAAGCAGGTTCTTCTATACACCACACTTTCACACTTGAATTTTTTTCCTCTATGACACCGAAAGGTCTTTTTTTTATGCACATGAGCACTATTGACACAAACATCTACAGCAAAGTTACACTTGACATAGCAGAACCCTGGTTGAGATTAGCCTAACACAATTTGTTATCACAGATTATTTACACTGAAGCTGAGCCCTGGTGCAACGCCACATCTTCAGGCCTGGACTCTTCGGTCAGCAGATGTGTGGTTCTGAATTTCACCAGCAGTGTGACATGACGCAATGACTCGACTTGGCAAGCCTGAGCATAACACGGGTCCGCCGCTTGTTGCTCACAAAATGTTTCTTCTCAAATGATCTCCCATAAATATACACAAGACAAGCGAGAGGAGAGGTGGAGTCATCCCACAAATAAAGAAAAGGAGCCCGATACTGGGACTGACCCCGAACTCAGTCTCCTTTATGACCCATTTGGTTCCAAGACTCACTCGCGTTGGACCGAGAGAACGGAGGCAGAGTTCAGGTTCAGGCCCAGCATGAATGTCGACAACGACAAGAACTGTTCAGAGGTAAGAAAGCAAATGCATTTCTAGGAGAGATAGCACCCGCCAAGCATGGTGGGGCATGTCTTCATGCTCTCTTGATGCTTTGGCAACTGACACAAAGATGAAAATCAAGGAAAATAAATGCTCTTCATGAGGCAACATTGGTTGTTAAGGCTCTACTGTGGCTGTGCTTGCTTAGTTTCTAGTGACGGCTGATAACTGCATACTACCAGGAGACCAAGCGGGAGGCACTATGTGGAGTCCTCAGGTTCTGACTTGATGGTCTTTTTTTCGGTGTTGCCGGCTGCCCGCTGTGACATCCCGTTCTCTAAGAATGCAAACATTTGCGTTGACGGCGTCAGCATCGAAATATGCAAGGACAACATGATGAGCACTCCGCACGGACCTGTTGCTGGTGTTTTGGTCTCCTCTGTGCTGCTGCTGTGGTTGTGGTGACGCTTCAACTCGTTGGCCAGCTGTTTGCCTAACGGGAGGTCACCTTCCTGCATGCTTTGGCTCACGACCCGCAAGTTTACGGGTCGCTCATCTGGAGAACAGACGGACGAGCAGCGATGATGAGGCCCAGGTCATTTGAGCCGTAACATTGAACCAGATGCCGCAGCTTGGGTTCTGATCAAAACTAAGAGATCAGAACACATTAGTCCAGTCTGAAAGACTTGGCGCTGGCTCCTTATCGGATGTAGACTGATTTCAAAATTCTGCCACTGGTCTGACTGAATGTAAGCCCAGGAGGGCTCGAGGTGTGCAGACTCGGGTCTATTAGTGGAGCCCGGGTTTCAAAGCAAACATGGTGAAGCCGACATTTAGCTACTGCACGTAAATGGAACAAGTTGCTATCGGAAGTGAAGTCGGCGCCAAGTAAATCCAGATGAATAAACTATCCTTTCTTTCCCATTCCTTTGATGGAGCATTTTTCAAATCAACTTCACTTGAGGTTTTTTTCAGACAGCTACTTTTTACATTCTTTTAGTCATAGTAATTCTTTAATGCAGAAAGGGGTCCATACAAGCAAAAAACAAACAAACAAAAAGAAAACAAACACAAAAAGAAAAACAGACAGGTAAAAGGTAAAAGATATGTACATATTAAAATGTATACAAAGAATGACACCGATGCAGTCTAACCTTCGAAGTAAAGCTCGAGCAACTTTTCACTAGGCTGACCTCTGATAAGGTTCTGACTTGTCAAGGCGACACTTAAAGAAAAAAATACCGTCAGTAGTAGTGCATCAAATGTTGGTCTTCTTTTCGAGACAAATATTGGACGAGCACTGTGCCACCTTGGTATTCAAAGAAGAAGCCTCAGTGCCTCATTATGGGCAAATTTAAGCCTCTGTAAACTCGACTTTCTGTAAACTCAACTTTTTGGACAATAGCTGAGCAGTGTCGCGTGGTGTAATGTATGCCCTGAACAATGGGCACGTAGAAAACGTTCTAATCAGTAAATTAGCCCGAGGGTATATTTTACGGGTTTGGCCAAAGATATCTTGGTTCTCCATCCAATCCTCAGATCTGAAACGACTTAGATATTTACTTTTTCACCCAATGTTGGGAAACAGAATTTCCGTCCCTTTTAACAGTCATTATGTGACTTTTTTTAACATCAAATATAATATCATGATTCATGCCATAAAGTACTGGTGTCAAACTCAAGGCACAGGGGACAGATCTGACCCGGCACATCATTTTATGAGGCCTGCGAAAGCAAATCATGTGTGTCAACTTGCATGATCCTTCCTAAAATCTCTACCGAAATGTCAAATTGTCATGTGCAATCAATAACGTTGAGATTTTGCAATAATTTTGTTTCCCTCATTGCACTCCCTTAAACAATAATTGAATAAACTATTATAGTTGACTTGGATCATTTCAAAACTAAACTATTCATTTGTTGTTGACAAGTAATAATGCCATGAGACGATGAAACATTTTTGTGGTTTAACTGTTGTAACGGCCCTCCGAGGGAAGGTGTAACTCCAAAGTGGCTCGCGACAAAAAATGAGTTTGACCCCCTTGCCATAGAGGGAGCACATGTTAAACATCTGTTACGAACATGACATATGAGTATCGAAAGACTTTCAGTAAGGTAAGGGTGCCATCGTGCAGTAGTAGCACCCAATGACCGCTGTGCGACAATGTACAAAGTCATCCAGCAGAGATTGAATTGAATTGAATTGAATACAACTTTATTGTCAAATGTGCTGTACGCATGTGTAATGGGTGGTGCAGCAATACAATACTATGACGGTTGTGCGGGTGGCGCAGATAATCGCTGCAACGTGTTTTTATATGTTGTGCTTTTGGTTGTGTGAAGCACAATGAGTTGCCCGGTGTATGAAACGTGAATAAAGTTGCTTTGTTGTGCCATTTAAAATCAATGACGACATTATTAACAGCGGTTATTTCAGTGGACAGCTTATCATGTTATAAGGTTACAGGGTGCAGGAAAGGCTTAAATCACAGGAGGAAATGGGAGGAGACCGAGCTAGACAGAGAGAGAGAGAGAGAGAGAGAGAGAGAGAGAGAGAGAGAGAGAGAGAGAGAGAGAGAGAGAGAGAGAGAGACACCCCCTCAGGGCAACTGGCTCGAGGTAAACATGTGTAGGCGGCTTAATTACAGGTGCATTGTGGGATTTGAGGGAAGAGGGATAGAAGAAGCTGTCAGAGTGGGTGATGTAGGAAGAGGAGATGAGCCCTGAAGACAAAACTTGAATAGTCACGCTTTTTTTTTCTTCCAGGAGAAGAAACAAATTCAGAGCAAGCACTTTTGGTGTGCGCAGCACAAACAGAGTTTTGATGTGAACCCCAGGGAGGAAATGTTTACCTTGATTCTCCTTGCTGGAGTCACTGGCGGCCCCGTTGACGTTCTGGGTGCTGGTGAGGTACTTCAAGGCAGCAGGGGGGATCCTCCAGTCCAGAGCCTGCAGTCGCTCCTGGACTGCGGCGTCCTGCAGGATTTCCATCTGTCTCGCCAGCAGACGCTCGAGCTGCATCTAAGGACACAAAAAACAACCCTGTGTCATGATTCGGTTTGGGACCAACAGGTGGCACTGTAGGGCTTCCCCTGCAGCTGCACACCTGTTGGTCATTAGGTAATTAGTGCCTTTAAAAGGACTCCCAGCCCGAGCAATCATTGTCGGGTCATTGTTGCTTTTTGCTGCTGTCATGTTTGTTTTTCAGTCATGTTTAGATCATGTTTTTGGTCATGTTTTTGTTATTGATAGGTTTGAGCTTCAGTCATGGTTTTTGTTTGATACTTTGGACTTTGTTTGTTTAGGATTTAATTTTCTGTGTTTTATCAATACACTTCTTCAAATACACCCTGCTCCTCCCTCCTGCCTGCTTTTTGGGTCCAACACCACCTTGCAACGTGACACCCTGTGAGTGACTCTGCACTCCCAAGTCCCTCACTGACCAGTTGACCCATCAGCGGTGCTGGCTAAATTATCCACAGTCTGCACTTACAATGCATATAAAAACTCCACACACCTCGGGTCAAATGCCATATTTTTTGTGCATTTTGTCACTGTTCCTATTTAGATCATTTTCTGATCTTTTTGTGTTTAAAAAAAAAAAAAAAAAAAAAAGAAATCAAAAACTAATACTTTAAAAATGATAACAACTGAGAAACTACACAATACATGTATGTTTTTTTAAGTACCGGTAAAGTAAATAAACGGAACAACCTTGCCAAGGATCCAAATTGAGGTTTCAAAATTGTGAAAAATTAAGCCATTGTCTCCATGCTCAGACACTTAGGGCGTTTCTGCTGAATGTTGGAACAAAGCCCCGCTCAACTGTCAACTGTCAATCAAGCAGCACTATTTGTCATGGATGGATATTACTTTGTCTAGCACCAATTCTACGCCTACACATCCCGACATTTTTGTGGTGTGAAAATATATCCACTCATAGCCTTTGGTGACTTGAACATGTCCCACCAGGTTATCGCGGGACTTTTCCACGACACAACAATGAGGCGCTCTAAAGCAACCACGACAGTGAGACGCCCCCGTCTACACGCTGGCTCTCAGGATAGACTTTTGACAGGATAGACTTTTGACAATCTTTTACGTCGCTCCTCCGTCTTCTGTTTGTGATGTGCGCGCACACACACACAGCCGGCCTTTTTTTTAATTGGCACAATGCAAAACATTCTGCACTAATTATCCTTAGAGCAGACAACATCAAACAATTCTCTCCAATAGGATGGGGAAATTCTTGCTTGTCAAAATTTTGTCCATTGTCGTTAATTCTCTCTGGCTCACGTTCAGCGATGTTGCTGCTGTCCCTGTTTGGTTTTTTTCAACCTAAAATATCAATCAATATCATAACCATGATTGACTTTCTCTTTCTTGATTTGTTTTTTACGTGTTCACGTGTTGGGATGAAAAAAGTCACAACCTTATTTTGACAAAATAAGGAGTTGGAAGCATAGACATCTGTTTTCAAATGTAGGGAGTAAAAGCAAAATATCAGAAAAAAAACAAACTTAAGTACAGCAACAAAGTATGTGTTTACTTTACTTGGCACGACTGGCCATGAGTGAGCGTCAAGACAAACGTCTCGCTGGAAGTGAAATGATCATCACGGCACATGTCAGTGTCGCTTTAGATTAGAACGTCAAAGGGTTTCGTACTCCGCAGGGATGGCGCTGTGAATGAGCCATGAAATCTCTTCCCTCTCTGAATAACGTTTTGGAAAATCACATTAGCTCAGACGTGCACACTACACACTGATACGGGAAGTCGCATGCCTAAAGAGGCGTGTTTCCTTCCGCATTGCATTGATGGACCTCTTACGCTGGCGCTGTGATGAGGAACAACTTCATCAATAACCGACATCGCCGCTGCCACGAAACAGCCACTTAGGTCAACGCCGCTGCATGAGGCCAAAGCTGGAACATCATAAACTGCGCGCCGGAAAGCAAATCAGATCTCGGTGGCTGACGACCTTTGTAATTGTACCTGCAGATTGCGTCCGATGCTTTCGTCTCCTTTGGACTTGGCGCAGGCCAGCTGCTCCCTTAGCATCTCCTGCCTCATATGGATGGCCTGCAGCGCCTCCTGGATGTCGAAAAAGTTCTCCTGAAGAAGCACAACACAGAGATTGATTTACTGAGAGCGTGCGGTACATCGTTGATCATCTTTATTTGACTAAAGGTTTGCACATGCAGTAAGGCGCACAAATTTGATTGCCAAGACAAAAAGACGTGGAAGCTGATCTAACAAGCAGGCACACCCAGGATCGCGTCCATCAAACAGGCAACATCACAGCGCGATAAATTTTGTTATGGGAAGTGTAGATGAAAATACGTGAATTTAGCACACGCAGTGTAATTTATCGTACCTGCGACGATTTACGATGGCTGATTTAGCGTCTTAAAATTACGCTTAGAAAGGCCGGCGAGAACTGGCACTGCTGTGTGTAACGATAACGGAGGTTACTGTGGCGAGGAGGAGGCAATTTTGGAGCTTCTGAAGCATCTAAGGGCCTGACTTCTTCGCCAGGCCCAAGAAGGTGTCATGCCTTATCATCTAGGGCAAAACTCAACAATTTGAAATAGGGCTGAAAAATAATCGAATTGCAATTTTTTTTTCCCTCAAGTAAATTTGTCATAAACATGAGCAGGTCAATCAAATATCACATTGCAACAATAATGCAAACACATTTGTGGCTCTATCACTTCAACTTTTCATGTTTCATGAAAAAATCGAATGTAAAACATGTGGATTGCACTTTTTAACCAATGTATTGATCTAGACACGATATCAATAAAAATCGTCCCATCTGGCCGAAATGAAGCAGGGTTTTGTTTTTTTCCAAACTGCAATGGTTTGCCATTTGAAAATTGCGATGTCAGTTTGAATGCAATTAATTGTTCCGTCCTAGTGTTCAATGCAATGTTACGCAAGATACACAAAGACATGGAATTGCCACGTACTCGAATTAAATAAATTATTGTGGTTGCAGGTTTGTTTGCCTCTTCCACTAACCCTTCCATTTCCATCACTTCAAACCTTATTTTGTCCTGGCTGGCTGTTCTCTCCCAAATACGTTTTTGTTAAAATACAAAATGAGAATCTGTTAAATAATAAGCAAACTCACCTCCGTTTTAATCCTTTTGGGGGAGGGCTCATCTCGATCCCCACAACGAGACCTGAGGACAAAAAGCCAACTTAGGAAGTGTCATTTGTGATGCCAGAAAATGAGGGTGTAAAGCGGTGACTCTTACTTGCTGGTGCGGTAGGTGTATTTATACGTGACCTCTCTGGAGATCTGCCGGGCCAGTCCGAACAGCTCATCTCTGCGAGTAAGCAGGGCCATGTCCCTCATGCAGAGCTGCGCCGCTGCCTCGTTCACTGTCAGCTGTACAGTTAAAAAAAAACATCAGCATGAGCGCAAAATTGGTTTGTTGATTGTTTCTGGGCTTGAGGTCTATGGTCCCACCTCATGGAGCGTCAAATGCTTGCCATCCCTCCTTTTGGAGTCAAAGCGTCCGTATATGGCGCTGTACTTGCGAATCTCCTCCTCCCTCCGCGGGTCGTCGTCGCTGAGCTCAAAGATGTGTCCGATCATTTTTGCCAGTTTCCTGTTGCTTTTGAGCTGCTCTTTGACCTCTGCAAGGTCGGCCTTGGTGAGCCCCGGTGCCATCCTCTCCACACACTCCAGGACCGACTGCACGGCAGCCGCATCCAGAGCCTCCATCACGTCTCTGGGGGAGGATGGGGAACCGAGGTCCGACGGCGACAGGCTGTGCTCGCTATCGTTGCTGTGCCCCGACCAGAACCGAGCTTCGGCATTGCCCTGCAGGGGCGAGCCCACGGATATTTTGTCCCGAGTCACATCCGGTTTTCCCGTGTCGGAGCAGGTGGCCACCGCTTTGGGCATCTTGACACTGGACGTGTTGGCCCGGTCCTGGGCGCCCAGCAGTGTGGGTGAGCCTTCAGGCAGTTTGTAGACCGGAATGCTGCAGACCGGCAGTGAGGTGAGAGGCTGGTTGAAGATGGCCGGGTTGGTGACCCAGTCGCGCAGCGCCTTCTGCAGCCGGCGTACGTGAAGCGGCTTGCTGGCCATACCAACCAGCGCCATGATCTCCAGGAACTCCTCCTCACCGGCTTCGCATAGCTGCTGCACGTCGTCTCCGCCCTGCTGGATGAAAGCCTCGTAGTAGTAGAGCAGGTTGGCTCGCTGGAGGATCCGGTAGAGCTGCAGCTCACCCAGCGTCCTGGGCAACACCGCTGCCATGACTGAAGAGAGGACGGGTAACACTGTTAACACAACCTTACACACATTAGCTACTTTTTTGTTTTTTTTTTACTGCATCAGAGGTGTCCAAACTCTTTCTTTCAGGGGTCACATGCAGAAAAACACACTTGTCACCCTTATATCAGACACTATTTATATCAGACACCAGATTCAGACCCAAAACAAGAGTAAACAGTGCTAACCTGAACTTCACACAGAGCGAAAAGCTTCAAAAACAATCACAGTTGATGCTATTTCCTGCGGTCACTGAATTATGTTTATTCCTGAGGTGTTAATGACAGAAAATTTGTTACTATTTTCGTGAACAGTGAACGGGGAAAACAATGAAACGGGAGAGTAGAATTATTTTCTTCTTATTATCTTCCAACTTGCGTAAAAACAGGTTCTTCCAAAATGGCGCTTGACAAAGGAGTTAAAAACAACAGTATACGCCGGATTCGTCACTTTGTAAAATCGATCAACATTTCCGGCTATTCAGAATCGAAGGTGCTTGTGAGATTCAGTGATTATTTGTCAATTATTTGTCAGTCAAACATTTAGCCCGATACATGCAATTTCAGCATGGCACACTTTAAAATCCAGAACCAGGTGAGTTTATGATTTTTTTTCAAAATATTAATTATTGGTGAATTTTAAGTTAGATTCCACTAAGTAATATTTTTAAATGTTGCCAAACAGGAGGAGCCCTCGTGCACTTTCAGTGTGTAAAAGTTGCTCACAGAAGAGAAAAAGTTAAATATCCCTGCCTGGAATAAAATAAGTAGTAGCCTACAACGCAGGTGGACAACATGTGAACTCTTAATTTGTATCTATGCCACGGGCATGCAAAGAAGTGACCCTACATCTTAAAGAGACCCTGAGAGTCAAATCCCCAAGGAAGCTTATTGTCACTCCAGAAGAGGAGAGAGCACCACTCAGCACAGTTGCTGGGAGGACCACATGCCTCTCTCCACCCCTGCAGGATGTGTAGGTGGCGGGCTCGCCTCGCCTAGAATAGGCCCGAGCAGGGGCCCCCGGGTGGGAAACACACAAAAGCCGTCTGAAACAAGACAGCAGCATGACCTAGTGAAGCGGCTCCAAATATCCAGGCCCAGCTGCTGCTAAAAGGTCACCACTATAGGTACTGTAAGAACATTTGTGAGCTGCAACACACAACATGCATTTGGATTTTTCTTCATTTTTACTATTCCGGCCATAAACCATAAAATAAACACACAAGCAAAAGAGAGAGAGGGAGAGAAAAGAGAATCAGCGTTGCGTCATTGCAACATTGTGTCTTACATTGATAAAAGTGGTAAGCCCATCACTCTCCACGTCAGAACTCTCGTATCAGTGTGTGTTTTTGTGTGTGTATGTGTGTGTGTATACTGTACTCCCTATTCACAAAATTCAGCTGTTATTTTCATTGCTCACACACGCAGACACTTTGAATCCACTGATTCACGAGAAATTCCCATCACGCACTAGGAACCACGTCACCATGGCGACTGCTAACACGTAGCCATGGCCAAGCTTCCAGCTGAGTAAACTGAAGTTATTTTAGTTTCTACAAACGTTTTGTCCAATACAGCATTATTACACAACAACATCCACAGTAAGTAGACTTTGTGGAGCAGTTTGATGCCAATGTCGCCCTTACAGTACATCAGTGATTCCCAAACACTGTTTGGTGATATCATCTGCAGTGCTGCAAGAATTTATCAAATTGTATTGAACTGATATGAAAAGTATTATTTATGCACTACAGGTTATGTATCTATCTGTGTCAGCGATGTCTAGATGACGGGCAGAAAAATGAAATGCTCTACACTGGACGGTCAAGAAGATCAAACTAACCCGCGTTTCCAACTGTTGACATTCATACTTCACAATACTGGCTTTGTGTTCAGCAAATAATGCCCACATTTCACACTGAGTATTTGGGGGTACAGTGACGATGATTAACTTTCTGAAATGTTGTTTGGTGGTGTGCCTTGAAATCGTTCTAATGTTGGCTCGGTTCAAGGTTGGGAATGTCTGTATCCATTCATTCCAAGTCTGACATCCACATGAACGGAACGTCTGCCGTCAGTTTCGGTGTGATTGTCGTATCAATTTGACGTGGCGCCGATTTGTGCAACCACATGTGCGTTGGTGACGCCGCGTTTTGCACAATATGCACAACACAAGACTGTCGTACAGCACGCGATCTGGTGCGATTCTGGAGTTGCGCGTACCTGCCGTGTTTTGGGCCCCTTTGGTGCGTTCGCGTGGCGGTCCACTCCTCTCCCTCAACACGAAGGCCGGTTGCCAGTCTGCAAGAGGAAAGCTCGCAAACCAACACACCCGCAGCCCTGAAAAGCCACGGACGCCAATGTAAAGAATTTAAAGATAATTTACAGTTGGGGAAAAAAGACGAAGACTTATTTCTTGGCTCAGGCGGAGAGACGCTCTAGTATTGGAATCCCCCTTCCCCTTAAACGTGTTACTGTCGTTAAGATAAGCAAAAAGACGCAGAGAATACGATTTTCAAAAAAGGAAGAAAGAAAGACTTCCGTGCGTCCTTCTCCTCAGTGCGTGTTGCGCGTGTAGTAAGTGTTTGACTCCTATCCTCTCCAGTCTCTCCACTCCCACAGCACAGTTTGAACACAATAAAGTAGCAGTCACTCAAACACAAGCACTTCCGCTTGTTTTAGCAAATAAAAGCTTCAGGCTCTCGTGGTCCCAACCAGGTTATCATAACGAATGCGAGCATGTTAAAAAAATGAACTCGTGGCTTTGTGTTCACATTGAAAAGCAAAGAAACTAACGCGAGCATGTTAAAAAAATGAACTCGTGGCTTTGCGTTCACATTGAAAAGCAAAGAAACTAACACGAGCATGTTAAAAAAATAAACTTGTGGCTTTGTATTCACACTGAAAGCAAAGAGCTACTCATTGTTTATATGTTTGGTCGAATTGGTCGGTGCTGATTTGCTTTACAAACGATATACCGTACATGTCATACATACCCATATTAATGCAACAAACCTTCGAAATACGGTTATGTATTTAAGGTCTCGTCATGTTGTGGGCAAACAAAAGCAAAGTTTAAACATGGTGCACATCACCACCAGGCTTGAAATGCCCTCATTTGTAACCTTTCAAGCAGTTTCATGTGGTTTATAATTATGAGCTCAGACACGCTGTGGCTGTCCCTATGACCTAAGTCAGGTTCGTAATGTACTTATTTCATGTCTCGTTTACTTTTTCAAATTCATGCATTTATTTCTTTACCGTATCTTTACCTTATCTTTTCCATTTGTGAAAACACAACAAAAATGCCACAAAAAGTATAGAGTATGAAATGAGATACTTGATGATCTCTCAAATACTCAACATTAAATGTGACCTGTTTACCGAAACACAAAACTATCACTACATTGGCAATAAGTGGATATTGCAAGTTAAATGCAACTTCTGCCATCTCATAGAAAAGCATTTCATTGTTTGTTCACATGAATCTGACACCAACATGATTTCTTATAAAACAAAAGGCACCATCTCATTGTTGGAATAGTGCCTTATTTTGGTAAACAAAAGATGCATTCTTTCAGGAATACAGTCATATTTATTTGAGAATAAAGGTTTCAGAATTGAAGGTGTAATACTCAGAATAAAATTGTCCTTGTAAAAATTATGTTGAAATATATATATATTTTTTTCTGAACCATTTTCAAGGTCAAAATAGGCAACTTTTAGGGGTAGTCAAGGTCGTTGTGCTTGATCTGCGTTCGGATTATTCACTCATCCATCCATTTTCCGATCCGCTTTATCCTCACAAGGGTCGCGGGAGGTGCTGGAGCCTATCCCAGCTGTCTTCGGGCAGTTGGCGGGGGACACCCTGAACCGGTTGCCAACCAATCGCAAGGCACACAGAGACGAACAACCATCCGCGCTCACACTCACGCCTTGGGACAATTTAAAGCGTTCAATCAGCCTGCCATGCATGTTTTGGGAATGTGGGAGGAAACCGGAGTACCCGGAGAAAACCCACGCAGGCCCGGGGAGAACATGCAAACTCCACACAGGGAGGCCAGAGCTGGAATTTAACCCAGTACCTCTGCACTGTGAGGTCGACGCCCTAACCACTGGACGGGGAATGGGGGTCAATTTGAAAAAAAAAAAAAATACCAATGAATTCTCTGGAATGCAAACAAAGCAACTCCGATAAATCAGATCTTAGCTTTTATTTTTCCCTATCATTTCCTGTTTTGTTTTGCTCCACACCCGTACCTTGACTTTTGGGGATATTCCGTCGCCTCTCTCTCTCTCTCTCTCTCTCTCTCTCTCTCTCTCTCTCTCTCTCTCTCTCTCTCTCTCTCTCTTTCCCTCTCTCCCTGTCTGTCTCTCTCCCTCCACGCCTTCAAGTCTTCTGTGCGCCTCGCGCCCACGCTGCTCCCCGTGTGACGCAAATCCGCGCGTGGGTGGACACACCGGGCGTGGGAGGCTTTCTGCACAGAATACCAAACACGAGCAGGTTACACGCCCACATACACAAAAGGACTTTTGCAAGCCGACACACTCAAAGTTCGTCTCAACATATTTCCATGACTGTAGTCATGCATCCACTGAACTTTGCTTATTTTCACTGAAATAGCACACATTAGGTTTTAACACGTACATGCTACTCACGAAAGGCATGAATGTGAGAAAAATCTGAAAGGGGCGAAGAGGCCACAGTAACATAAAATTGTGCATCAGCTCCCCTAACAGAATCCAACACAATAAAGGAATTGAAGCAAACAACCAATAAATAACCTCATGCACTATGATCCCTCCACCCGCACCCCCAGAGCAAATGGCTTAATTGCATTTAAAAAAATCCCATTTAAGGATGCCACAAACTCGCTGAACTGGAAACCAACATCAAATGCAAGAAGTCAATTTGGGCATTTTTTTTTACAAAAATAAAAATAAAAATATATTTTTATCGAGGTACACGTTTTGTCTTGCATATCATTCTAAATCTGCATTAAAAAAACGTGGAATTTTCTGCCATATGGTGGTGATTGGTGATATGACCGCTTCAAACTACGGTTGAAGACTCCTGCATATTCACAGTTCAGTATCTGCATTCGTGTATTTGCAGATTTTTTTTTCTCTCGCTCTTATTTTCAAGAGTCTTTCATATTTTGGATTCCCCTTGACAAAGCCGCCTCACAGTGCAGAGGTCGTGGGTTTGAATCCAGCCTCCAATCTTTATGGCATGTTCCCTGTGCTTGTGCGGTTTTTCTCCGGGTACTCCTGTTTCCTCCCACATTCCCAAAACATGCATGGCAGGTTAATGAAACAAATTGTCCCAAGGTGTGATTGTGAGCGTGGATGGTTGTTGGTCTACATGTGCCCTGTGATTGGCTGGCAACCAATTCAGGGTGTGCTCCGTCTACTGCCCGAAGACATGCCCGTGACCCTCGTAAGGATAAGCAGCTCGGACAATGGATGGATGAATGGATGGATGGATGGATGCATTTCTTCTTGTTTTCCATTGAAAATGTATGTTGAGTGTTTCTCCATGTTTTTTTGAAGAATTTTTTAAAGTTGCCCATCCCTGCTGGAGATGGATGAAGCACCGTTAGGGACATGATTCAAGATTGCCTCTTACTAATGAAACAATCTCGATAGTGCTACTGAAAACCTCTCACTATTATGCTCTCACACAGACACACAGAAACACACACACACGCACACAAACACACAGACATAATACTGTATTTTTTGCTCACGCACTACTTGAAGCACTCCCTCACTCACAACGGAAATGCTCCCACCCACACTACTGAAATGATCTCAAGCACACCACTGAAACGTCACGCACACTAATGAAACGCTTTCCCACTCTGGTGATTTTTTTTCCCCACTCACACACACAATTTAATTTTATTTCACTCATATACAGCACACTTTGAAAACTCACTCACTACTGAAACACTTTCATACACTACTGAAATGGTCTGACTCATGAATGAAATGCTCACACAAATGCATGCACCCCACCACCCCACACACAAACACACATTTTTTTCCACTCACACACACCAATGAAGGCATTCTCACACACAACTAAAATGCTAAATATTGATCTTTCTGTCTGTCTGTCTATCTATTGATCAATCTATCCATCCATCCATCTGTCTGTCTACATGGATGATACAACTTTAACAATGTTCTCTAAATGCACACATGAAGTGGTGATAATTTTTCTCCCACCCACCTTTACATCTAAATCCTTCTCTGAACTCTTGTGAATACGTATGTGTGCATGTGTGTGTGTGTGTGTGTGTGTGTGTGTGTGTGTGCGCGCGCGTGTGTGTGTGTGTGTGTTTATTGTTTTGCTGGTTTATGACCTTCCCAGATAGCGTTGCTGTAGATGAGTGAGGCAGACAGGATTGAATCCAGTCGTACAGGAGACAGCAAAGGAGCGTCAGCTTTTGACCTCCTTCCTCACCCACTTATCACTTACGCGTGCACACACATGCATGCACGCACGGCAGAGAGAAGAATTAGGAGCAAAGAAATGAAAGTGCCAGTGGCAAATAAGATGTCCACACGCCCACACAGCAAGGTGGGTCAACATCGGGCCTGCTTGTTCCCACACGTCCTTGTTTCCCAAACATCTGACTGCTTTGGATGGAGGTTCTTTGGATATAATCAACTGTGCCATCGGTATGAACCCTGGTGTAAACATTCATTAAACCGATTCAGATGGAGGGAATTTGAATTCAGCAGGAATGCGAAAAGCATGAAAGGAGGTCGCTTCCAAGTTTTTACACTCTGCAAGTCCTGTCAAACTTTTTCTAATGTGTTGCCATAGTTTTGCAAACTGAAGAACAGAAAAAATGCGAGATGAGCTCAAATCAAAGCAAGTCAAATTTATTTTTCTCGCCCTTAAATCACAGAAATGTCTCAAAGGGCATCATATGCCCACTGTTGACAATATTAGGTTCTGTGTTATAGATGCAGTCCATTTCAAATAGGTCATGCTACCAATGTAGCTGTGTGGCTAAAATTGGCTCTTTTACAGTGCTAATGCGAGATTATTATTGCTAGTGCTGCAATTTTGTTAAAGTTGGATATGTGTTTTGTGTGAATTAGTGAGGGGTGTGGCTTTGGTCAGAAGGAGGGGGGACTAGTGAAATGAGACTACATATTTAATC